ATGGCTAGCTCGCCAGCAAAGCAGGTGACTCAGCAGGTGCAGGACACAGCCCAAGAGCAATACACAACCCAAGAGACGGAAGGCCCAAAACGGAACAGGAGGGCTCCCGCGTGGTTGAAAGACTACGTCGTTTGAAGAATAAGTTGTCATAGGAAGTACTAGTCCAGAGGGACCTCGGGATTGTTGAGAGTTTTTCCCATTTCTATTTTGCTTCGATTCCATAGCCATTGCATTACTGTAACTTCTTGTTACTTTTGTTGCATTGCCTCTGTAGCTGTGATCAGAAGGCAAGAGGTATAAGAGACTAGAATACCATTTTGTTCTTTTCAGGCAATGAAATATTCACGTTGAATTTCCTCTCTTATTCCTTCCCTTTTGTTTCTAAAAATTCTGGAGTTGGCACTCGCTCGAAGAGTGTGGGTTTTTTCGTCTAACTGTGTGAAATTGCAGGTTGGGCGCATCAATTTGTGCTTTCATTGACTTTGATCATGGCGGATTCGGAGGTTCTTACGGCGGTCAAAGCATTACAGGCCTAGTTCGAAGGCTAAACGCTCGCTCTGCACCAGACGTTACAACAGTACATGACCACAGTCGATTCCCGATTAGAGGAGCTGCGGTCGGAATTACATGGATCCCCTGGCATTTCTGTTGGTGTTGCGGGTTTGCCGTCCCGTCCCCCGCCTGCGGGTGATGGCCTCGCCAGTGGTCCCGAACTATCGCCGGTTTTTCGTTCCATGAAGATGGAGGTTCCCAAGTTTGACGGATTCGATCCTCATGGGTGGGCTTTTCGTGCTGAGGAGTTTTTTGATTTTCACGGCACTCCGGAGCATCTCCATTTTCGAATTGTTTCATTCCATATGGAAGGTCCGGCAGCAGCGTGGTATCAATGGATGAAGGCCAACAGTCTGTTGACAACCTGGAAGGAATTTTTGCTCAACCTCAAGTACCGATTCGGTGCTTCCTTGTATGAAGACCATCAAGGTAACCTCTCTAAACTGACTCAGACCACTACGGTGGTGGCTTTTCAATCGGCTTTTGAAGATCTGATGAACAAGGTCACCGAGATCTCTGAACCTTTGTTGATCAGTTTCTTTATTACTGGTCTAAAACCTGATATTAGACGTGAATTGTTGTTTTCCCGTCCGGCCACCTTAATGGAGGCATTTGCTTTCGCCTGTACGTATGAGGCTCGAGTTGATGAAGCTCGCCAGTCTAGTCGTTCTTGGCCCAAATGGTCCCCGTCCACCGTCTCTAACTCCGTTTCCCATTACCCTCCTAAATCAGCCGCCCCACCTCTGCCTGTTTCCCCCATAAGTCCACATGTTAACCATGTTTCACCCCTAATTGCCGCCCCCAGTTCATCCACTCCCAAACAGAACTCCTTACCCCCTCTGCTCCCATCACCATCCTTACCCATTCGTCGCCTCACTCGGACCGAGTTACGGGAAAAGCATGAAAAAGATCTCTGCTACAATTGTGATAAAAAATATAGTGTTAACCATAATTGTCGTAGTAACTTTTTTCTCCTCTTGGGCACGGAAGATACAGAGGAGGACCATGGTGATAATTCTTCATTATCCGAGCATCTCTATGAGGCTACTGCAGGGGATATTTTGAGTTTGAATGCCTTGGCAGGACAAGGCAATCCTCGTTCACTTCACTTGATTGGCGAGCTTGGGTCTCATCGCCTTCATGTCCTTATTGACAGTGACAGCACTCACAATTTCCTCAAACCGGCATTGGCCAAATGAGTGGGCCTTGCAATTCATCCCATCGTTCCTTTCCGAGTCTATATTGGTAATGGTGATTTCTTGGTATGCCAATATTCATGCCCTCAGGCCGCCCTATTGATGCAGGGAACTGTTTTCCTTTTGGATTTATTTATTTTACCTATTAAGGGTCCGGATGTTGTCTTGGGTATCCAATGGTTACAACAACTTGGTCGCGTGTCTCATGATTACCCAGCCCTCTCTATGGAGTTTTGCTAGGAGGGACGCCAAGTGGTTCTCCGGGGGGACTTAGCTGCTACACCGAGCCTTATTACCCTGCACCAGTTCCATGCGTTAATTCATAGTGCGGCTGTTCACAGTTTATTTGCGCTGCAACCGTTGAATGAGTCTAATGCGGTGCCAGTTGGCCCATGGGGTGAGACACCGCGCCTGGAATTTCCTCGTTCCTTACTTGAGTCCATTACCGCCTTATTACACAAGTACCATGGCCTATTTCTTCCTCTAACTGGTCTCCCTCCTCATCGCACTATTGATCATAAGATCCACCTACTTCCGCATAGCAACCCTGTTAATGTACGACCCTATAGATATCCTCATTTTCAAAAGAACGAGATGGAGAAGCTTATTCATGAGATGCTGGAACATGGCATCATCAGGCCTAGTCAGAGCCCTTTCTCTTCGCCGGTCTTGCTAGTGAAGAAAAAAGATGGTACGTACCGGTTTTGTGTTGATTATCGTGCTCTTAATGCCATGACGATTAAGGATATTTCCTATTCCCACCATTAATGAGTTACTGGATGAGCTCGGTGGTGCCTCGGTGTAATGACCCTAACCTTTGATCGTCATCCTATACTTATACTTAACATTACTTAACCTCTAACACTTACTAATTATAACCTCTTAAAATTCAGGCCAATTTTTTTCATTCTTACCATGTACGTCTAAATGCTATATTTTCTCTCTCTCTTTCTTCTTGGTCGGCCATAATTAGGCAAGAAGAACAAATGTGGCTTCTAATGTGCTTCCGTAAGCCACTTTTAAGTGTAATGAATATTATAATAATATTTCTAATAATATCTAATATTACTTTTTAAATTAAGGAAAAATCAAGAAATCAACCATTTTGGCTGAAATTTCTTCCGTTCAGTTTGGTAGAAACGTAACCCGAGGCATTCTAGTGGAAAATCTCAACTTTTCGAGGTAAGATTTTGGATTTTTCATGAGAAACTGCTTACTTTTTTGTTTTGATGAATAATAACTCATCTCGGAAAAAATCCGTAAAACTGAAAAATGAAACTGAGGTTTTGTCGGGGACTAGGATAGGAGTTCAACGTGTAATTATGGAAACGATTGAACAAAAATTTTTGGATTTACACTAAGAAATCCGAAAACCCTAGAAATGGAGAAAATGTGTTTTGTTCAATTTTATGTTAGAATTTGTGTTCAAGAATATGAATCTTGACTCCAGGTACCGAAATCGGAATTAGAACTAGTTATTGAAAACTCAGGAAATGAGAAAAATAAGGCAAAACTCTGCCAA